TTAATGGGCCTTGAGGCTCCGAAGAAGGAGAGCTGGCAGACTTCTCGATTTTGTCATGATGATCAACGGTCATGATAGCGTCGAAACTTAGACACCTTCACGTATGGGGTCTTCGACAGCAGATTCAATCTTTCAAAATGAGGGCAATCATGGAAGTCGGGGGCTCTCAAAGTCGCGCATTTGCTAAAAGAGTAATCTGAGTAAAGGAAGAAGAGGGATGGATGGTTGGTTGATATAGGCAGACATCAACTGATACACTTCATACAAGACTGTAAGTACTAGGTAGTTACAGTCCAGACTTGTTTAAGGTACCTAGTTAGTATATTACCGTATTGGGAAGTCGTTGGTACGAGATACGAGACCAGCAAGCATTAAGGTAAAAACTGGTGATTCTTGACGTGACAAGGGCTTTAACTGACGGTGGTCGATGAAGGGTGCCTATGGTGATCAACGACGCAGGAAAAACAAGTGTATTCTGTCAGATCTATATTTGAGACTGGACTCGATCTTTTGAACACTTTTCATCAACCAATCCCTGTCTGTCAGCATGCTAATGGCTTGGTCACCACAGACCATGTTTTAACTCGGGGCCTGTGAAGAGGGACCGAGTACGCGTACATATATGGAGTTGTGTGATATTAGATGCAACTATTTAATAGGTAGGTATGCAAGAAACCTTGCCAAATAAGCTTATTTAAACGCTTACAATGAACTACCTCGCCTATCAACTCTCATATTCATGAGAGTCGGCAATAACCACGAGCCTGTACAAGTCGTCTGTCTACCTGGATGCCCATCATGGACTTGGTGAACTAACCTACCCTACTACGTACTGGTACTCCGTAGGTTGGCCCAGCCAATAGCGCCAGCTTGATATGATACCAGTCTCTAATTTCCATTTTCGCTTCGGGTAAGCTCTTCGGGTTCGGATCGAATCAAGATTCCGATCCAATGTGAGTTGGTGGTGTACATGCCAGTCACAGCACTCGAGCACCATTTCTAGAGTACGGGGTACATGGAAGGATGACTTTAAATCTGACGCGTACCTCAGTGAGGGTCCCGTAATCTCGAGGAGCTTGGGATGAGGCTGATGCCCCGTTTCTTAATTATCGTGTGTGCCAGATTGTCGCATTGGACAAGTCTGAATGATAGGATCACTTCCTACAGCATGACAAGTCTCAGAGAAAATGCATTAAATTAACTTCCCCAAAAATATACCCAGGTATTAAATACCTAAAATTTACCTTCGCGATGATGAAGGGGAACGATAGATTGCTACCCTATAATGCAAGCATCTGATAGAACGACAGTAGCAATTGGATATATATACTAACGTTAGGTACCTATCAAGCTTTTGTGATTCTTTCTTATGTAAATATCTATTATGGAGTACTAAGTCCTTACTGTAATGAGTAACTAACCAGGTATGCTGATAATATCATGTCGCTTTTTGAGTGAAGCCTCAAACGGCGTCGCTTGATTAAATTCAGTGCTCTATATAACAAACCTTGAACTTATATTAATACAATAGATATGGTCTCTTCCTCATATACACAAGACCCCTTCTCTCCAAGCTTTCTTACACGTTGTAGTCATATTTCTTTTAATTTGCAGTACTAAGTTATTGCATCTAATAATACCAAGATACCCGTAAATCAAAGCCAATTATTGCAGCGTTGGCTCCCTAGGTAGGTAGCATTTCGGGCCATAATCAGTAAGGTATGCCCCACCAACTCTCTCGGGCCAGGCAGCCTAGGCTACATTAAGGTATTCAATTGCTTCTCCTACTGGAAAGGTTTTATGCGGGACTGACTTGCTGGCTGTACCCAAAAGTGTGACGCATAGGTATCTCGTCCCGCCGCTCGCATGATGAGCATCGGCCGCCATTTTTGTGGTGAATTCTAAAGCTTCAATTTCCTCTGAGGGCGTCGCGTCCTCGCATCGAATGATAGGGAGATGAGGCCAAAACAAGCCCCAATCAAATCCCTTTCCCTGAGCCGCATTACAGCAAGATCACTGTCGTCCACACCTGCCTGTCGGTGTCCGCCTTCCTGCCTTGCTCTTACTCGGAGGTATCGTCATTCAAGGTTCCTCAGCCTCGACCCCTCCATCACAGTCTTTTCCCTGCCCCGCTACGCTTCTTCTTCCTCTTCCCCTTCAAACCCCACCACCACTCTAGAGTCTCCCACATCACTCGAAATGGCACCCAAGAATAAATTCGAGCTCAAGACCCCCAAGGGTACAAAGGACTGTAAGTGATCCAATCAATCGTACTACAGAGGTCATTCCTTAACACCATCCAAGGGGAGGGGAAGGATATGGTTATCCGTGACCACATCTTCAACACCATCACCCAAGTCTTCAAGCGCCACGGAGGAGTCACGATCGATACCCCCGTCTTTGAGCTCCGAGAGATCCTCGCTGGAAAATATGGAGAGGACAGCAAGCTCATCTATGACCTTGCCGATCAAGGTGGTGAGATCTGCTCTCTGCGATATGACTTGACTGTCCCCTTTGCACGCTTCCTAGCCATGAACAAGCAGATTCAAAACATCAAGAGATATCACATCGCCAAGGTCTACCGCCGAGACCAACCTGCCATGACCAAGGGTCGCATGCGAGAATTCTATCAGTGCGATTTCGACATTGCCGGCACCTACGACCCCATGCTGCCCGACGCCGAAGTCATCCGCATTATTACAGAAGTATTTGAGGGACTTGGTTGGAACGGTGGATACACGATCAAGCTAAATCACCGAAAGATTCTTGACGGTATTTTCCAAGTCTGTGGAGTCCCTGAGGACAAGATACGCACCATTTCCTCGGCCGTTGACAAGCTTGACAAGCTGCCTTGGGCTGATGTGCGAAAGGAGATGACCGAGGAAAAGGGACTTGACGGTGATGTCGCTGACCGAATCGGAGAGTGGGTTGTTCTCAAGGGTAAGCAGGATCTACTGCAGAAGCTTCAGAGCACAGAGAGCTTGGCCGCAAATGAATCCATGAAGAAGGGAATGGAGGATCTTGCTCTGCTGTTTGAGTACCTAGAGGCCTTCGACTGCCTGGATCGAGTTTCTTTTGACCTCAGCTTGGCTCGAGGCCTCGACTATTACACCGGACTTATTTACGAGGTCGTTACACAGGGCTCTGCTCCTGAGGTCACCCCTGGGCAGGAGAATGCTGAGTCTAAGCCTTCCAAGAAGAAGGGTAAGAAGGGCTCCGAGGATGACGACCGTTCCGATGACCCCACAGTTGGCGTAGGAAGTGTGGCTGCCGGTGGCCGGTACGACAACCTTGTTGGCATGTTCTCTGGCAAGAGTCAAATCCCGTGCGTCGGTATCTCCTTTGGCGTTGACAGGATTTTCTCTATCACCAAGGCCAAGATGGCCGCTGAGAAGAATGCTGCTGTGCGTAGCAATGATGTCGATGTTTATGTCATGGCCTTTGGTCAGGGATATCTAAAGGAACGCATGTCAGTGTGCGCCAAGCTATGGGAGTCTGGAATCAAGGTTAGTTGACTTTTCTCACGAACCTTACTATTGCACGGAACAGAGGACTAACTGTGCTATCACAGGCAGAGTTCCTTTACAAAGTTAAGCCTAAGCTGCCCGCACAATTCAAGGCCGCTGAGGCCAATGGTGTACCATTTGCCATCTTTCTGGGCGAAGATGAAGTCAAGTCAGGCAAGGTCAAGATTAAGGAGATGGGACTTCAAGAAGGCCATCCTGAGAAGGAGGGTATTCTTGTCAGTATGTCCGACATGGCCAAGGAGATCAAGGTTCGACTTCAACGCAAGCGTGAGCTTGACGAGATGACCAGGCAAGCCGAGGGTCTAAGGGTTGTCCATGGTATCAAGGGCGATGAGGTAAAGGATGCGGAGAAAGAAGTTGAGGATGCCAGCCCTGAAACCACACCAACAGCAGTTGAAGCGACTCCAGGAACGGAAGAGCCACCTCACAGCAATCCGACGCCTTGAGATCTTCGTGACGAACATCAATAAAAACAGTTCAAAAGATGGCCGTGGTGTTAAGTCTTAATAGAAAGGACGATCATCTCACGAAGCCACTGTTCACATGAATGGATGATTCTACTTATTGCTAATCATGGGCATCAAAATTGAGGAAACACGTTGTTCCGTGAAGCCAATCGTAGTCGCCTGTTTTTCTGGTTCCCCTTTGCCTAGCGCAGCCACGTTTGTTCCCCTCAACAACAAACACTATGACAACCATGTGCTTCCGATCGACACAGTGGTGCTCTAGGTTCCTCCTGTCTGTTGAAAAGCATCCAGCCTCCAACGCTGGGGCTTTTGAGAACGTTACCACGAACGGGCAACAATGGAGACTGCGTATGTCTTGTGAGCAAAGAGGTAATCCTCCATTTACGGAATGAACTGGAAGCCAGGCCGCGACCAATCCCTCCCCGCTTACGGCTCCAGCCGACGTTCTCGAGCAGAGAGGCTTGGATGGCGACCCCGAAGTTGAAACAAAGACGAACACAGGACTGGAGAGACTACCATAGCGGCACAATCCTAGGGAGCCTTATTCTACCAGAGACGCAGGTACCGAGTCGCACGCACCCAGGATGTGGCGGATCAATAGCCGCATCCGCAAGAGACCATTGCATCAAGCGAGCCCGCAGTCGCAACCATCGTCAATCAAGTCGAGAGGGGGCTCTAAGTTTCTGCTGCTACCTGACCACCCTGCATCAGAAGGGGAACTCTGAAGTTTGGTTCAAGTGTCTATTTAGACGGCCTCAGGATCCCGACCTTCTGGAACCGAGACACTGGCGTATGTCGTTCACGCCACAAGGCCGACAAAGCCGAATCGAGTGACTGTAAGTGCAGTTCGATTGTGTGCATTTTTGCTCTGTGTTGTATAATAATGTCTTATTCATATCCCCCTCTTTGCATCCTCTTTTCCTCCTGTCCCGTCTGTGGAGGAGTATGGTGCTTCCTTGAAGATAGGTTTCTTTTCTTGGCCAGCCTATCAGCCCAAGTAGGGCTACTAGGGAGTGAGGGAGAAAAGAGCGAAGTAAGAGTGAGAACGGCGCGACAAGTGACGGCCCGGTGGGTCCCCTGGGCCGGACCACGGAAGTGTCTGAGGCTCGCGAGGCCGGCGCGGCACCTCTATCCCCATTTTGGCTTGATTGGTTCCCATAAGATCGTGGGGCCGCTCTGCTCTTCTCGCTGAGTTTTCCTCATTACTCAGTAGTAGGGATAGGAAATAAGAGTATGGAAAGACCCTTGGAGAGGTGCAATGTCAGCTGGATACGAACCATGAAGTTGAGTAGCTGAACAGGGTCTCAAGAACAAGGGCAAGGGCTGATATTGAGGTTGAACCTGTCATACCCGGATCGTGTGCGCTATGTGAGCCCATGTCGAGTTGTGCTTATATCTATCTGTGTTAGTGTCTGTTGGCCCGAGGACCGACGTATGACAGACACTCTTGGCCGTCACGTCTCAACTTCCAACTCACACACTGTCCACTTTGAGCCGATTTTGCTACCCTTTGTTCTTTTATGCCATGCTATTTGCCCTCCGCAGGGACCTCGATCTTTCGTAGTGTCTGACCAAAAATGACTCAACGGCATCATCGTTCTCAGGACTATTTCGAAACCGCCTGGCAACCAGCGAAGAGCTCGGCGCCGCTGACACAAAGGACGAGACCCAGCCTAGCAATGATCTTCATTGCCCAGAGATCGGTATTCCCGACGACAGAGTAGTATCGACGCTATAATATTTGATTTATGCTTGTCACCTGGACGACTTTGGCACTGGCTAGATGGTTCATCGATGTGGCGTTTATATGCTCAACAGCAACCGCTTTCGGATATCTTGAATTCCAGTCCATCTCTTAACTACCCGCAACCACCATCATCGCACAGCTTTCAGTATTTCGACTTGTTTTCGTCTTCTAATGTGAAGTCACTCTTTAATCTGCTTCAGAGGCTTTGGTATTTGTCTTTACTATCTCGACGAGTCGTCAAGATTTCGCTGTACAGCTCTTACAACACTGGGGCTCCCACTTACACCTCGTTTCACGAAACTATTTTCTCGATACCTTCGTTGTCTTACCAATCAATTTATGGGACAACTCAAAATTGTCTCTCTTTGCCCCTACCTGCCAGGGGAGACAATCAAAGACACTTTCACGTCACAAAACCTTTAGTGCTGTGTCATACTTGGGCCCCAGTTCGCATACACTCATGAGACTGACCACGAGGAGCTGAGCTGACAAGGCACCATTTTGGTAACAAAAGATTGGCATATTGGCCACACAAACCTTGGCCACGCCACGCGCGCCGCCGCTCTGAGTCCGGACTCTTATATTGTAACGCCCCCAGAACAGCCCCCCATCCATTCGCCTCTAGACCACGACCATAACCCCAGACACGAGCCTTCGGGCTACCTTGACTGAAGAATATCACCTGTCATCATGGCTGCTTTGCTGTCTCAACCAATTCATACAGCCACTTCGTCGTCTTGGCCTTCACGAACATCATCATTATCCACGTCGCCACGGATGGAGACATGTCGTGCTTCAGTCACAGAGACTAACTCGCCAGAATGGCTTCCTCAGGCTCTGTCAGAGACTCTGCACGTTCTGCCTTACACTTCCGCGGAGTGGGCGAAGGTGATCTCGGATGTCAAGAGAGAATATCTGAACCGCCGTTATCGCCCCTGTGCAACTCGCTGCAGTGAAATCTTGGACAATCTCAAAGATTTCGTAAGTTATTCTTCATTAACAATGGTAAAACAATTCTAATGAGATCAGAGCATTGTTGAGCCAGCTTACCTTATATATCTTCACTTTTACGCAGCCAACTCACAAGAGATGCTTGCTCGTGCACTTCATCAAGCCGCCCCAGCACGAACCACACTCCTTAACCAGGCTCGTGACCATTATCAACGTGCCTCAACACTCATCAATGCTGCAGACTCCACCGTTGGTCCAGCTTTGTTGAGAAGACCGTCTGGCACTACTACAACACTGCCAAGCCTCCACTCTGCCGATAGCTCTGTGAGCTCCTATATATCGTCAACATGGACCTCGTCTCACAGTGTATCTCCGGCATCATCTATCTCGTCGATCCAAAGCGTGCCCGCTTCTAAGCCTAAGAAGAAGCGAGTGACTTTCAGCGACGTGCCCATGGAGCTTCTCGAACGTCCGGACTCACCAACGCTTGGCCTAGGCAGCTTTTTAGGACCTGCTCGTTCAACATCTCCAGAAATTTCCGGGGGAGATTCATCTGCTGTACCAGCGCCTCTGCGGTCATTGACTCAGGCGCCTCGGTCAATCCTCACTCCACGATCAGCACAAAACGACGTCTCCCCTTCTACAGACTCAGAGCTCGATCCCTTCCGCCATGCTCGCTCTGTTCACCGCTACAGTGCCCTCCTAACGAGCCTGCAGCGCCAAGTCTTTCGACATCTCAGCTTCATTGAGACAGAGCTCGGCCAGCAGCACATCACCCCTCCGTATGAAGACACACCTCCGTCGCCTGTTACTGTGAACACGGCCACTTCTGCGTCCGCTACGCTGAACGCTGACAAGACGCGTTCAACTGAGCTACAGATACGGATAGAGCGACTCCGCGCAAAAGGCTGGGAACGCAAGCGATTCGACGCGCGTCGGTATGCCGAACTTCGTGAGAGTGCTTCGGCAGACATGAACGACTAAACTCTACCCATTTCAGTCATTAATCGGTTATCTTTGTCGACACAAGGTTTATGAGAATGAAAGTGGAGGGTGCCTTTCATCGTATGTATGCTTATGAGATTCAATGATATAACGAGGAGCATGCAGCAGGTTCCAAGGATACGCTTGACGCGTGGCTCGGGATGGAATAATGACGGTCATTTGTATTAGCACACCAAAGACTGGATCTTTAACTTGTTACTGCAGAAAAGTCAAGGGAAGATCACACAAGATTGTTGGTCAACTCGGAGGCTACCAATATAGAGCATTTATCTACTCAGCATAATCATCTGCGAGAAGAACATGGAATTCATTTGGGTTATAACATATCAGAAGGATTCAATTTCCACCCTTTTTTAGACCCAAAGAATATTCCCGAAACAAACAACAACGCTTTCAACCTAAGGAGTCGCAACACTCTTTGCGACCAATTCCGACTCGTCTTTTCCATCCGTGTTATTGCCCTTCCTTCGTGCATCTTGCGAGGACTTACGCTGCTATCCATCTCAGCGTCGTGCTAAGGTCGCCCACCGTGATGCTATCCAATATATGTGAACATGTCTGCAATTGATTGGGATCCTCAGTACATTTATTAAGCCTGGAAACTTCGACGCTTGGCATCCTTTTCGACCTCTTGAGTGACACGGAGAACTTCTTTCTCCTCCTTGTCGTCGGCGAGCTTTGCTCTGGCAACCTCGGAGAAGATAGCTGAAAGATCCGAGTTCTCCGGGTCCTCCTCCATAGCCTTGAGCTTCTCGATACGTGCTTGGAGCTTGATCTTCTCGATGATGCGCCTGAATCGGCTTCTGGCGCGGAAAGACTTGATCTCGGGCAACAAGTTGTAGTCGGTAGCGTTCTTTCCGGTGAGCCAGATATGACCCAAAGCTTCCTGTATCGCGAAGTTAGCCCAAGCATTTCCCCTCGTGACGACGGTGATGTTCTACTTCGCTGGTCCAACGCTGATCAGCATCTGGGTTGATTAGATGCAAGATGAAGTCTTTTGCATCGTTGCTGACGTCCTTCCAGTATCGCTCGTGGAAGACCACCGAGTTCTCAGTGCACTCCCGGATAAGGTCCTGGAGGTTCTCACTGCGGAAAGGCGAGTAACCACAGAGCAAAGTGTAAGTGATGACACCCATGGACCACATATCCACAGGCTTTCCATGGCCTTCCTTCCGCATCACCTCGGGGGCAGCGTAACCGAAAGAGCCAGCCATGGTCTTCAGAGACTCGCCCTTTCCGTCGAGCATCTTGGCAATACCGAAGTCGGCCAAGACAAGGTCAGAATCGGGATCTTTGCTGAGGTAAAGGAGGTTCTCGGGTTTAAGATCTGAAAACCGGGTTAGTTGGTGTCATGAGATGTGCAGTTTGAAGCACTGTACCTCTGTGAACAATGTTGTTCTTGTGAAGGAAATCGACAGCAAGTAGAATTTGCTTAATAGTCTCAGCGGCATCCTTCTCGGTGAACTTGCCCTGCTCGCAAATGCGGTCAAAGAGCTCACCGCCGGTAGCAAGCTGTGTCACGATATAAAACTTGTCCTGAAGGCACGGAAAAGGTGAGCCACATGGAACGTGGGAAACAGAGAGGGAGAGCAGTGATCTGGGCCAGTATTTCAAGAACCTGACCTGAGCGGGGATCGGGATAGAGAGTTGGGGTGGGATGAGCTTACTCTCGACTCGAACCAGTCAACAAACTTGACAATGTGAGGATGCTTGAGTTTCTGAAGCATCTCGAGCTCGTCATAGACCATCTGTTCGTTTCCCTTTACATTTCGCTTGAGAATTATCTTGACGGCAACCTTGCCAGTTGGGCCATCAGCCTCCCGGACGACTCCATATGTTCCAGCTCCGAGTGTTCGACCAAACCTGTACTTAGCTCTACAGAAGAAAGTATTTGTTAGGAATCATCGGGTTTGTGATCGAGGTCAGGGGATTTCGGGCGCACTTCTTATCGTAGCTCTCGGGTTGGCCATGAAGCCTGTTCAACATGCCGGCGACTGCGCATGACGACCGTGGTCAGCGTATAATTCGGGGTAGTGCAAAGGGCTGCAGGAGGAGGATCAAGCAGCAAGACGGGCTCTTGAAAGTACAACACCAGACGCAGAGGCCAAACCGCCAGAGCGGGGAGGGGAACAAGGCTGTGAATAGTCGCAACTTACAACTCATGGCGGCAGTTTTGGCGGGGTAGAAAACGACCCGTTTGGGTTTTGGAGATGGCAAGCTGGAGGGGAAAGGAAGACAAGATCGAGTCTATCCTCTGCTGATAAGACGAGATGATCTGCACCCGCACGGCAATTCGGTCTCACGCAAAGAGTGTTACAGTAAGTCCGAGAGGATGAAGCCTCTGGGATAACGAGAGTTATGTAAGAAGAGAAAGTAGGCGACGGCGACGGACAGGATGAGGAGGAGGAGGAGGTCCTTGTTAATTAGCTTGCGACACCTACCTACTAACTTTAGTACCTTAGCTATGGGACCCTCCACTGACGACTGACGACTGACGGGGCAGACCTGGGGCTGTCAGCAGCCCAGCCCAGCCCACCCAGAAGCTGCCCGAGCAGAGAGCGCCGTATGCCACCTCTGGGGGACTTTAGCACTTAGGTACTAAGGTAGGCACTCCACTAGCGGGGTGCCACCATGAATGGCTATGGTTGGTTGCAGGTGTGAAGGAGTGTGGCTCA